CTCGCGAGCGGCGTACACCTCCCTAAACACAAGGTACACCTCCTACGCCAGCCCCTCACCTCCTAGCATTAGTAGCCTTCTCCTTCTCCTTCTCCTTCTCCTTGCTAATGCTAGCCAGCTCCTCGACCAGCTTCCTCTCCTCCCCACTCAACCTCTTGGGAATCTCCACCTGCACCTTCACCAGCTGATCTCCCCTCATATTCCGTTTATTCAAAAACGGGACCCCCTTTTTCGCCATCACAAGTGTAGTCCCCGGCTGAGTCCCCGCCGGGATTTTCAAATCCACCATCCCATCTACGGTCGGCACTTTCACCGTCGTCCCGAGAATCGCTTCTGTGTACGGCACCTTACACGTGTACAGTACATTCGTCTCGTCCCTCTTCAAAACCGGGTCTTCCCGAACCTCAATCGCCACGAAGAGGTCTCCCGGCGGGCCCCCCCTCAGGCCCGCGTTCCCTTCCGACCGGACCCGGAGCCGGCTGCCGGAGTCGACTCCGGCGGGGACTTTCAGGCTTATCCGCTTGGATTTCCGGAGGCGGCCGTGGCCGCCGCAGGCGGGGCACGGGGCGGAGGTCTCGCCGGAGCCGCCGCAGGCCGAGCAGGTGGAGACCTGTTGGAAGACTCCGAGAGGGGTCCGCGCGGAGGAGATGACCTGGCCCTGGCCGGAGCACGCAGCGCAGGTGGAGGGAGTGGTGCCGGGTTTCGCGCCGGAGCCGTTGCAGGTCGGGCAGGAGTCGAGGCGGGAGATCTCGATTTCCTTGTCGGTGCCGAAGACGGCATCTTTGAAATCGAGGACGAGGGTGTAGAGCTGGTCCTCGCCCTCCGTTGCTCGGCTGCGGCGGGGGCCGCCGCCCATGCCCTCGAAGAGGGACTCGAAGAGGTCGAACGGGTTGCTGAAGTCCTGTGAGAAATTAATTGCGGCTATCATTCCCTTTTTGAGAAAATTGCAATTCTGTGTATGTTTCACTACCATAGCTTTTTTCGTTCACACTTGGAATTGTTGTTTTCAATTTAGTCTCTTATGTTTGCAAAAAAGGTTATGGAAAGGCCCCCAATTCGAATTCGCAAAAAGGTTGCGATCTCGTCCCCCTTCGAATTGCTCGTGGACCCTTTTTGAAAATATAAGGGACGGAAATAGAAAATGGAGATGTTTTTGAGAAATTTAATTTTGGGTTTAGGTTCATTCCCTTTTGAGAAAATTTGTAATTTTAGTGCTGTATGTTTTCCCTACCCTAACTTTTTCGTCTCCTTCGAATTGTTGTTCCAATTTTCGTCTCTTATGTTTTGAGAAAGATTACAAAAAGCGTCATTTTCGCAACACAAAAGGTCCCCTTCAAATTGTGAAAAAAAAAGTTGCAATTTCGTCCCCTTCGAATTGCTCGGGGACTGTTTTGTAACTTTTTTTGCAAATATAAGGGACGAAAATCAAAACAGCAATTCGAAGGGGGCAAAAATGTTATGATGTTGAAACATACAGGACTAAAGTAAAGTTGCAATTTTCTCCTTTTTTTTTTCATTTTTTTTTCCGATTTGTTATAACTGTGCCGAAAAAAAAAAGGCTTTACCCCCATGCCCATGCCTGCGCCTTTAAGGCCTGCTTCGCCATATCTGTCGTAAATCGAGCGCTTCTCATCGTCTGATAAAACCTGGTAGCGCGAATAATTCGTCAGATGTTAAGATGAGGTGAAGCTCAGCAGTCAGAAAACAAGCATTCAAAATGAGTACCTCGTATGCATTACTAATCTCCTTGAACTTTTCCTCTGCTCCAGCTTCTCTGTATTTGAGATATAAAAACACCATCAAAGAAGATTTTTTATTATAATTTCTATTTCATTTATATGGCTCACGTGTCACATAACTTCATAAGGCAAAATTTATAGTCTGAGGAACAGAGATGAAATTCTTGAAGTTCATTAATAACATTCTCTAGTTAGGTGCTTTTAAAGATTATCTATATATAGATATGAGAAAAGCTCTTGTCAGATTTAGTAGAATGAAGAATGAACCACAAATCCCTCTCAAAAAATTATGCTCTCAGTAAGCATAAGAAAAGCCAATGAAAATTACAAGAACAAGTGATCTTAGGACTTACTTGTTCACGTCCGGATGATAGCTTCTGGCCAGCTTCCTATAGGCTGAAGAGAACAAAAAAAAAAAACAATTGATGGCATATTTTAATACTAAAAACCGTGTTCAACTATCACGAATTGCAATTATCGCATAAAGGATACAGTGGAAAAGAATCTTCAAATATTAGTCAGCAAGCAGTATTAAATAAGGATTCAAAAATCTGGCCGAGTTCCCAATACATGGAAAATTGGGATAAATAAAGCAAGAACTTAAAGGAGAGGTCTAACTTCTCAAGAACCCCAAACAAACCCCAGGCTAAGTCCAGTTGCTAGAAAGATTAACAATAAAAATATGAAAAAAACAAAATCAAACTAACACACAACAAAAACTATGATGGGTTCTCGAAGATAAAACTGGGTGTCCAATTCCAAAAATGCAGTTTCAACTTTCAATAATATATAGGCAGAAGGAAAGTAGATCATAAACAGCATAAAACCATTAACAAAAAAAATATGAAAAATCAAATCAAACGAACACACATAACAAAAAAAAAAAATCTAATGGAAACTGGAAAGGGATTTCACAAGTGATTCCGAAAGGAAAAATTAAAATCATATTGAGCGTGTATATTATGGCAGGCATTGCTAAAGGACTTTTTATATGTTCAATCATTATTTTTACAAGAATATAGAAACAACGCACTATGTAAAATATTCAGCAATTTAACCAAGATATATTAACATATTCGACACTTGCTACTTACCGCTTTTTATCTCCGACTTGCTCGAGTTTTTAGATACACCAAGCACGGAATAGTAGTCCTGTAAGTTAGAAGCAGACCATAAGCATTTGTACACATGAATAGCTTTTTCTTAAATATTTATGCTTTTTCTACACAGAAAATGATAAAAAATAAAGACTTGAAAAGTTGAAAAGCTGAATTCTGGGCTCCTGTGGCAAAAGTTATTGCCTTGTTCCAATTATCTTACTCTATCAGCTCTAACAATGAACCGAGCTCCCCTCCTCTGACATGGATTCTTGTATGATCTTGAACTGGAAAGAGCATTTAGTGGTTCTTGTGAAAAAAATGCGAAACTTCGTGATGCCACTGATTTGTTCCTGCTTGATGAACTGCACCAAAATAAACATTATTGATGATGACTTATACTTTGATTATGCAATGATGAGAAAGAGAGAGAGAGAGAGAAAGAGAGATAAATTATTAGGGTGCGATTGGACATAAATCTAATCCGGATTTAACCAATCAAATCCACTTCAAATCTACCAAATAATTTTAAATTCAAAATTTTTACAGAAAATACAACTCAAAAGTCAACTCTAACTCAGCTTAATTCTAATCAATATTATCAATATAATTAAATAATATTAATCAATCATCCTCACACATCACATCAACAAAATCACTATTCATCCACTCACATATTTTTAACTAACAACCAAATCCAATCACCTCTCTCCTACTTTTACATCAAATCACTTTAATCATAACATTTTGACTCATCTCCAAACACAAACTCAAAATCCAGTCCAAACTCCACCCAATCACTGTTTTCAACTTCAATTCACCGTACTCAATAAATCTAAATCACATCCAAAAAATTAATGTCCAGTCGCACCCTTAAGAGGCAAACAACGGTCCATAAATTCAAGAAGTTAAATAAACATAAAAGGGAGAGAAAAATATAACAATTCAAATAGGACATATGTCTGTTAGAGTTACAGATTCGGGGGAATGGGTGTGATCCCATACAGAAGCGCACCGTAAGAGGGCGAGCCTAGAAGCCACTTAAGTGACGTTCCATCACAAAACCAATTGGTGATGAGAAGAGTAGCCAACTAGGCTTATAAGTTGCTAGACTCATTTGGCCTATAGAAGCAATGTGGGACAACTCAAGTCATAATCCAATGATGACATGCACACACTGTTAGACATAGAGAAATCAAAAGACTAAAGGAATGCGGCACGATCAATATAAATATGTATCAATAGCTCTAGTGAGAATCTAGCTAAAAGGCACTCGATCAAGAAAACCAGTTCAGTTACTGCTCAGTTGGTCGAAGTTAACTAATTACGATACTGTAAAAACAAAAATAGGATCTATACTAATAGTCTCTCTCTTTTTTTCTTTTCGATCTCTTCCTTTCGGTTCGAGTCTTTTGTGTTTCTCTTGGGTTTCATCTCTAGCCTACCCCGACTTGCTTGGGACTAAAGGCTATGTTGTTGTTGCTGTTGTACAGATACTACAGACTGCGCTTTACTTTGTCGGAGGAGAATTTGATGAGGTGATGGATGAGAAATGCTCATAAAGAAAAGAATATACTCACATGAAAGCATATACTGCTCTCAAATGCGTTAAAGATGAATGACATACCAATCACAGGTTTACGTGAAAGGGAAAGGCATAAAGAACAAAGTTAGTTTCCTATTATAAGGACAAGGTAAATGCAATCTCATAAGCAACCTGTCCCTTCCACCTTTCCAAATAACTAAGGAAAAAACTGATCATTTATTCACTGTCACACTAAAATTATACCAAGGTTCTTAATCTATCTCCAGAGTACCTATATTAAATAGAAAATGGTATGACATGCTTCTTTAAGCATAACCATCATGTGGCCTTATCAGTACACTGTTAGAAACAAGATTAAACATGGAGCTGGCAACTTCATCTGGGCAATACTCCATACATAGCAGTTGGCAAAATCTAGTTTTGGCTAAAAGAATAGATCAGCCAGAAAATTGGTCCAAGTGAAAATTGAGCAGCAATCCCAATCCAACTCGTCTAAGTTAGGCCAGGAGCCACAAAATCTTATATAAAAGTTGCACCAAGATGAAAAAGTTGCATATACTTTCTATGTACATGGACAAAGAAGACATTTTTTCCTTAATCAGGAAAAATCTCATTTGCTCTCAACAAATTATGGAATTAAAAAAATATTTACCCATCCTATCTCCTCCAAACTTTTGAAAAAAATCTTTACATTTTAATTAAAGAGACGATGATGAATCCGCCAAATAAGTAAGACATCCAGATAAGAACTGCAGCAATGTCACCGCATGCAAAGCATCCCAAATATAATTTACTGCAAGAAAGAAAGACGGTCCCAGAACAAGCTATAAAGATGAAATAGAACGATTACCTATGTGAGGACGTGCATAATTTATTTGTGAAAGAGGGCCTAAGTGCAAAATTAGGTTGAACGGCCCACCGGCTCACGCAAGTACTCCCACAAGGTATAATTGCCATTTAGTACCCTGTAAATTTGAGGATGCAGAAGCCCAAATAAGAACAACAAGAGTGGTGTTAGGCAGGCCTAATGGTCAGACAACTATATTTTTTCAGCGGATACGGATACTTTCAAATTGAAATGTCATACTTAAAAAAAAAAAAAAAAAAAAAAAAAAAAAAAAAAAAAAAAAAAAAAAAAAAAAAAAAAAAAAAAAAAAAAAAAAAAAAAAAAAAAAAAAAAAAAAAAAAAAAAAAAAAAAAAAAAAAAAAAAAAAAAAAAAAAAAAAAAAAAAAAAAAAAAAAAAAAAAAAAAAAAAAAAAAAAAAAAAAAAAAAAAAAAAAAAAAAAAAAAAAAAAAAAAAAAAAAAAAAAAAAAAAAAAAAAAAAAAAAAAAAAAAAAAAAAAAAAAAAAAAAAAAAAAAAAAAAAAAAAAAAAAAAAAAAAAAAAAAAAAAAAAAAAAAAAAAAAAAAAAAAAAAAAAAAAAAAAAAAAAAAAAAAAAAAAAAAAAAAAAAAAAAAAAAAAAAAAAAAAAAAAAAAAAAAAAAAAAAAAAAAAAAAAAAAAAAAAAAAAAAAAAAAAAAAAAACACACACACACACATGAACAAAAGTATGACATTACAAAGCATAAGTATGCAAGCGCCCCACACAAGAATTTGTGAAATAAGAACTCCTTTCAGAAATTACTGCAGAGGGGCAGTCATGAGCAGCTAGCTAAACAGACAGACATAAATAAAGTTCCCATCTTTACATCTTGAAATTGCCTTCTGACTGAAATAGAAAAACAATATTGACAAATGGGTCAAAGGTCTTGGTGAAAATCTGGGAATTGCTTCAAAAATTAATGGGTTGTGATATTCGAGCTTTATATGTATGATGACACTTTCAATCTTTTCCCAAAAACTCAGAAGACTTTGCGAAACATACTCTTATGATTTTTGCTATGTTTTTAGCAACTCGTGCAGGTTCTAATGGCTTGTTCTGTGCGAGTAAACAAACCCAAGAGAATCTGAAAGTGAATAATATTCTGTAAAAGGTACCTGCGAAAGCTGGGCCTCTAAAAAATTGGTGGCCGGAGGTTAAGCTGAGGAGTCTGGAGCAAACTGGATGTTGGGGAGAGAGAGAGAGCCTGAGTGAGAGAGAGATTTATATATGTAAGGCCCTTCATGTAGGGTGTTTTGTAACTCGGGTCGGGTCCGGTATTGACACATTATTATTATTTTTTTATTTTTAATTTTTGATGTAAATATAGTTGTTATTCGAATCAAACTTTTTCGTCTATTTAGATAAATTGAGCTCGAAAAACTAATCAAATTAGTTTTTTGAACGAGTCAATTGAACCGTTTGAAAAAAAAAACGACTCAATTGAACCGCTGGTTTGTTTACATTTTTTTATGGGTTTTTGAATAAAACAGTCAAATTGGATTTATAAGATCTTATGTTTATTAGATAAGCAGAGCTCAACCGACTCATTTATTTAAAACTTGATTTTCTATTGGAAAAATGAATATGAGAGTATATAAGTGCTAGAAGATACTGTTTTATGGGGAGAAAAAAAAAAACCAGAACTGATATTAAAAAACTTAGCTCAACATTAATTAAGAATATATTTTTATAAAACAAATATTGGTAACATCATATGAAGGCCTTCTCAAATATTATACACAAATATTGGTAAAATACACTAAAATGAAACCTTTAAAAATAAAAATACAAAAATTACACAGCCAATGCTTCAAATTGAAGAAAAATAATTACAGTAACTCTTAATCATTATTACTTAATGTCTGAGCAAAGCTAAAAACGTGATTCACATTTTACATCTTAAAATCGCTAACGCATTTTGTGGCTGGAAAGCAGCTATCCCCACTTCCAACGTTGTACCCC